GAATTGTCATATAATTGCTTACCAAAATGGAAGCTCAAAGGTAAAATAGGTGGTACTCATGGATAGGTCAGAGTCTATCTGTGGACGCTACGCTAAACCTCATTTCTTGTGTGATATCTGGATGCTCCTCCGGTTTGTACTAGAGCCTAAATAGCTCCTTGAGCAGGACTGTTTGTGTACATAGACAAAATCAAAACTTAAAAGCCTATCCTCTTCTGAAATCATTTGCTAATCAATTAAGTTTACAAACGTGAGAATTTTTAACTGAATTTATCAGTTTTCCATAGTTGTATGGATAAAAAACGTGGGATTTTATGTAATAAGCTTCCTTTATTATTTACAATCTCTCAAATGTTGAAATTAATAAATTATGAAATATAAGTGAAGAATGGAAGTATGAAGTTGAAGAAGTACCTATGGCTGAATGATATATTGAAGGAGAGGGTGTTTAGCAGCCATCTAAAAGAAGGCAACTCAACTTATTCGCTCAGTGATGCTTCTAACTTAACTCACACTTGTCCAGAATGTTAGATTAAATTCATCAACTGAACCAGACGTACGAAGATTACACAGCCTCAGTAATGCCTTTCCTTGTGTGGTTAAACGTTAATTATCCTTTTACTGAGAGATTATGACAATCGGTTTCGTAACCTGACTTACACACATACAAGCTTGCATCGCATTATCTCAACCATACTTGCTCACAGACTTATGCAGTCTCGGTCAGGGCTTTTTTTGGGCATTAATTTTTCATGACCAGAGCTTGAAATTATCTTTTTTGATCACTGATTTGTGAGCGATATTCCGTATAAATTAACACACTCACACACGAGCAAAAGTAGCAGGACAAATGTGACATATAATTAGCCAAGCCATTCTATATCTATATATGCCTTTTAATTTTATCATTATTATTCGATTCTATACAAGAGCAGGATAGTGTTAACGTGATACTTTTACAAGAATAAGTTCCAGTTCGGATGATGTCCAGCATATGAAGGACGAAAGCTCAGCATGCTTACAACCAAAATGAGGAAGGATGTCTAATAGACTAAATCAACCTGAACTTCGTATTGAAGACAAGCGGATGCAGTACAAGGAGCAACCGTCCTCGTCTGGTGAGAACTACCTTCGGATTTATTCTTCAAGCACATTGATATGAAATGAAATTATCCCTAACAATGTTATCTCAGTAGATTCATCGAAACCCAATTACTCTTCGTATTTATACTGTCTAGACTAACTTTCGCTCTTTTCCTATTATTTCACTCATAGTCAAAGGGTGGAAGTCAGATATTAATATAAGAATTTTCAGCACTAGAAACTAAATTCTTTAATGAAACAGCTGTGCTCTCATCTGTGGTCTAGGCGAGCTTTGAAGATCTGGCCTACTATTTCCTGTGAATGAATTAACGAGATGGCAAGCTTTCCTCTGCTAAGACTCATACGACACCCAAGTATTTTAAAGCTAAAACGGCTTTATTATATCCATCAACTGCATAGTAGGCGTTCATTGTGCTAATAAGTTAATGATGATGATCCTACAGATTATAGGTAAAAGGATAGTAAACTAAAGGCAACGAAATTTATACCATAGATATAAGGCTCAAGATAGTGTGCCCTCCTATTTGGTCGTAGTCTCCTTTAGCTCTATTAAGTCGGTTTGACCTCGTTTTTGCAACTTGGTCGGAGCATCAGGGAAACATTGTGGAACACATTTAGTCCTGTGTCCTCTGTCATATGACTGACTGCCCTCAGATACAAGACTAGATACGTTACACAAGGTCTCTCTGACACTTCGACTAACTTAAGTTTAGTTCGCAATTGCTCGATCAATACAGAAAACAAAGGTCGAGACTAAACACTAATGGTGATAAACTCCGAAGTAATGCAAAAACCGCCAAAGAAGATTTGATAATTTAGATTCATCAACCATGGGTAAATATATAGATGAATCAAAGCGATGGCATGTACGCAAATATAATTAAAATATAGACTCATAAAATACTAAAAGGAGAGTGTATCTAAAGTACCAGGAGTTGAACCATCAATGAAGAGAGGTTAAAGGCAGCTTGTGAAATATGCAAAAATATAAAAAGCTATATGCTATAGAAAACAATGGTTCACTGTTTATCACCTAGCAAATTAGTACGCGGTGAGGCATATATCGTATAGAAATGAACTATTATATTACAAGGCTAAATTCCTTTTACTTGTCAAGTGAAGGATAAGACAAAAACTATGACGACTTACAGGAGGAAAATTAGTCCCTTTTTCGTCAATATCGAGGAAGGATATTAGTTTTTCATATATGCTGAAACCAAAAAGAATGAGGGAGTGAAAACACGAAGTGTGTTAAGATGATATAAATTTACGGAAAAGAGTAAAGAGGAATTCCAGAGAATAAGTTTTATGGGTTTTCTTATACCATAAAGCCAGTTATTAAGTTTAAGTAAAAAAAAAGATCAGGACCAAATTTGACGATAAATTGAAATTAATAGGGCTAATATAGAAAAAAAATTTATCAAATGCATAGAACAAAATAGAAGATGCTCAGGATAAACTTATTGATAGACGGAAGATCGAAAAAGCTGTTAATTGGTTTTCACGATATGAAAAGTCGCTTTTGCCAATCAAATAAATATCCAAAAGAAATCAAAACGAAATACATATGATTTGGCCGTCGATAATTGATGAAAAATCACTTAAAAACAATGAATGTGCAATATCGTAATCCTGTAATCATGCAAGGAATTTCGGCATATGGCTGAAATGTGAATAGTTCAATTAAAGCAAGAGCCGGCTTTGTGAACAAAAATTAATGATGAATGAGGCTTTCAGTTTTATGTATCAAATACAGGAACGTAAACAATTTAAATTGATGATTAAATACGAGTTTAAGTTGTGCGAAAATAGTCGATTTTCGCAGGAGTGAATTTGTCACCACATGAATACGTTATGATTAGCACTCTTAAAGTGTATACACGCGGAGAAGGCAATGCTGAGAAGTCTTGAATATCTAAGTTCAACATTGGCCGAATAACTTGTAAATTAAGTGTGTATTTTAGTAGGGTTCTTAGTGGCTAGCGATAGACCTTATAATACAATGTAAATTCTTCCGTCGTAGGTCCAAAATCCGTCAAGTCCTGCAAAAAGCTGCATCAAATCATTGGATAAAATTTTGAAACCGGTAAAACTGTACATGGACAGAGCTGTACGAATTTGGATAGAAGAGTAAGATAACTCACCTGGGATTTCTGAATGCCTTGTTAGCCTGAATAGTATAGTTTGGATCGTAAGTAATATCTACATGCATCCGTCTTACAGCGCGTTCAACCTTCTCCTGAAGTTCCATGCCGCAGTGCCCGGCTGGTTCGGATGGCATTTGTACCTCTCCCATGAGACGCTCAATCATAGAAGAGCGATTCTCGGTTTCGATGGGTACGACTAGTTCGCTGGGTACTAGAACTTTATCCGGAATATCTTGAGACAAACTTTTTTCATTTTGAATATCTCTTATGGATTCAGTATCAGGTAAATTTGTTTCAGAGGCCAAGAAAGTATGGTGCCCTGAGGATACGTTCACCGGAGAATTCGCATGATTCTGTAAAAAGCTCTGACTCATTATAGTTGGTGGCTCAGATGATTTATAAAATGGAAGAGTTGACGATAAATCTGGTGAGGAGCTGTCATTGCCATCACTTTCAGATGGTTGAAAAAAAGTTTCTACAAATGCACCATCCCTAAGGAGACGTGATTTGGATATAGAGTAAGCAGAAGTTTGGCTTCCTTCTTTATCTTCCAAATCAGAACCTTGATGAGTGTCTTCCTCTTCATCCTCTAGTCCATATGAGACAAGACTGAGTGTCACCATTTTAGACTTTTTTGGAGGGATTACTTGCTGAGTATATAACGAGTTGACAGTGCTTTCTGTTTTTTCTCTTTTCAATCTAGTTTTATCTATAGTCTCATCTTCATCGCTAAATGGATCTAGTTGTTCATCTAAAAAGGGTAATGCAAAAACCGGATACCTTCTTGTGAAAATCTTGACAAGCTATGTGGGCTTTCCTCTCTAACTTCGCGATCAGTGTCACTTTGGTCAGGCTCATCTGTAAAAAGATTGGCAAATAATTACATTGAGATTAATTAGCCATTTGAATTTTTCGTGCCAAATTTATAGCGCATAAATGACTCCGTTTAACAGCACCTTTATTACGATAGCAGATTAAATCAGCTTCCGTAAATCAACTTTAGTCCATTGGTTTGAGGCAATAAACTATTTGGTATAATGCTTACTAATCTCAGTAATAAACC